GAATGCAAGAGCCCCTTCGTAACTGCGCTTTGAGACTTATCTTCCTGAAATGAGCATTGTGCATTGTCATTCCCTTCACCCTGGCCTTATGTCAAGTTTTTCTTGATGGTGCATTCCTATCACCCAGCCTTCAGCCAAATTTTTCCATGTTATGACAGAAATATCACCCAATGGATTAACAAGTGCTAAGTAATGAATAAGATGTTGCACTTAGCTGTGTAAATAAAGCATCATGTCAATCTTGAATATAATGTGGATATAATGTGAAGTTGACTTGAAGTCAGATATAAATATGATCCTGAGAGTAAACAGTTAAGATTGTGACTACTGTCCATATTTTTAAAGAATTTTCAATACAGTTTGGTGAAAATCTGTATTGTAATGTTATTTTTTTCATGTACCCAGTATTTGTAGTGCAATTTCATTACATCAGAGAGAAAATGTAAATGTAATGCATTGTTTTACCAGCCTTGCAGTTTCCATTAAGATGAACATCTTGTTATTTGCGCCTGCACTGTTGCTTGCATATCTGCGCTGCCTTGGCTTCAAGAAAACTATACTGCAGCTGACTATTTGTGCTGCTGTACAGGTATGTACTGGATTTTTAATGTCCCCTGTAGCTCGTGTAAATTTTCTTTAAAGAATTGTTTGTAGGGTGTATGTATATGTTGATGTGTATATGTCCATGCCCATAAATATTGTGCATTAACTCTGAGGTTAGTAATCAGTTATATATGATAATTCCCATCCTAGTTTGACCTAGTGATTCAGTATAGTTCATAGTTCTGTAAATGCTTGGTATAAAGGAAACAATTTGTATGTGTATCACATATTTTAATAGACATTTTTTAGTTCTTATTCCTTAAAGACCGAAGTATAGGTGTGCATGCTTGGACCATGCAGTGTCCACTAAGCTTTTTCTATTTTTCTTTATTTATTTATTAATGTATTTATGGCCCCACAAGTGCTTTGTCACCAAGAAGTCAGTTACTAGGCTTTGATGATCCCACTTGTTTCCAGTATCCCTTGATATTTTGGTAAAAAAAAGTTTTGGTGTCTTTTACTAAAATCATCATTATGATTATACAATATGATTTGACAATATGATGATGGTGATGGCAATGATGATGCTAATAACAATAATTAGGCAGTAAATATCAACCTGTTTTCCTTACAAATCAAAGAATAGGATAAATAGGTGAGGTCAGGTAGGCCTAGTAATTAACTTCTTGGTGACAAGTACATGTGGAACCATCTATGTTTAAAACTAAATAAAATTTTAGTGCACAATGCTTGGGACAGATGTACTTCTGGCATCAGTGAGTAGGCATTATGGTCTCTAAAAGCAGGAAAGTACAGACTTGATTATTATTTATGGTGTTATGTTGTTTCTAGTTGGTAATAATGTGATAAGGAAGAAAGATTGAATCAGGCATGGGAGGCAAACGGTCCTCTTGCTTTACTAATGAATGAGCAGCTTACAATTTAGAAGTGAGTAGTTGATCTTTCATGACATACAGAAGTTCATGTTACTATTATTCTACTGAAATAAACCACACCCAATCGCATTAGGAATACTTAGAAAGCATCGATGGTTTCCCATCTTTATAATATTGACTAGAAGCTTTAATAATAAGATCACATAGAGTATGAAATAGTTATTAGTCTCATATACATATACAATGTGAGTGATGTCAAACAGCCCAGGAACCTTTGATCTTTTTCTTTCTCTATAAAACCCAGAGATTTTCAAGTTTTCTTTGTATAATCTGATATTAGGTAATAAAGTCTATACAAAGTGGCATTTGTAGCATGCCTTACCAACTTTGAACATTTAAAGAAATTAAATCAGTATTTCATCAAATGGGATACAAGATATAGTTTCATTGTAGATTACACTTTACTGCAGTGGACAAACTTTGAGCATTCATGGGTACTTTCTATTATTATATGCTATTACACCCTACCATAATAGAAGTATGAAATTGATACTTTTTGAGCCATGTCTAATTCACTTCATTATTATTTTCAGGTTTTGTTAGCTGTACCATTTCTAATGGCTAATTCATTTGGATATATAAAGCAGTCTTTTGACTTAGGACGTGTCTTTTTGTTTGAGTGGACAGTGAATTGGAGATTCCTACCAGAAGAGATATTTGTTAATAGGTCGTTCCATTTACTGCTTCTTGGTCTACATTTGGTTCTTCTCTGCACCTTTGCCTACACTCACTGGGATAGGTATGTTGTAAATAAAATAAATTCAGATTGATAATTCTTATTATATTGTAAGTGAAATAATGTAATTTTGTTTTAAAATATTTCATTATTAAAATCCTCTCTCTTATTCACTTTGCCCTCATATGTGTATGGCTTTCTGATATACCACTGATTTTCTTTACAGTCTGTCTTCTCATAATACAAAATTCATTGATCTGTTTATTGTCTCTTCACTCAGGTATCTAGTCAATTATGCCACTCTTCAAGGAATTGGACTTGAGAC